AAATACTAATGTGTGTGTTTTTAATATTTTTTAATAGGTGTATCAATTATAATATCAATTATAATTATAGGTTGCCGTGTTTTCCCCTGATATACTCGAATGTTTCAATCAAAATATTTTGTCACGGTGTTTTGCTTCCTATTCTCTATATAAGTCCAACAAACGACATCTATACCTAAATTCTCAAAAACTTTTGTGAACACTTTTTTCACATTATGCTAATTTGGATTATTTATTTGCAGATCTTTTAAAAAAACTAAACCTATGTACCTTTTCACATACTACAAGTTCTTTTAAGGTTCTAAGAATTTCTATCGTCTTTTTCTTGAGAGTTACTTTTAGTAGTTTTGCGTCAATGCATACTATGAAAAATTTATTTGTACATTCAGGTTAGCTGCCTTACATGGTAGCTGCAACTACATTCAGGGAAGCTACCTTAATCATTAGACCATTGGGTGATCGAGTATTTATATAACTGTCAGAAATACTTCTCTTCAAACTTTCAAATTTTCAATAGTTAAACTGTGTATTTCTTAAGTTACTCATTTTATTAACAGTTTTTGATAAGGATTAAAAAAATGAAAATGTATAGTCACGAAATATTAGTTTACCTCTATTATCTGAACGTTAAAGTGAACCAAAATTATCCTAGATCTTATTTATTTAGGTGGGATCTGTACTATTTTCTGAGCCGAATAAGTTTTTCGAAAAGTGCTACGCTCAAGTAACAGTCGAGATTGCAGTGAAAAAAATAAACTTTTCTACTGACCTTAGCATTTTTTTTAAATCTTGAAAAATCAATTTTTTAAAAAAATTTAAAAAAGAAAAATTTTATACTCTAGCAATAGCATAGATCCCACCAAAGAAAATAAATCCAGTATTCCGCCTCCTCCACAATTTGTTTGTGAGCATCTGGTCCCTCCAGAATGACCACTCCTCCATTCTGCCGAGGGCTAGCATCAGGTTCGATCGCCTTCTGCTCCAACATACCGCTAGGCCCTGGGCTCTCTTGATGCCCTTCCAAGACCTGTTTGGATCCCTGGGTCACCGACAACTTGCTGTTTCCCATCGGCAACCCGCAGCGAGAGGTCGAATCTACTGGAGGCGCGAAGATGACCTCTTCTCTTCGTTCTCCTTGCCATTTCCCTTGTTGCAATCTGGGCAGAATTTACGACTAAATCCCAGTTTGCCACAAGCGGAACACTGGAGAGGCTTGCTGAAGTCGATCTTCCGCCTCTGTCCTTCTCGCCGCTCGCCAGGAGACCTAGGAGAAGGAGAATTTTTCCTTCCCCCACGCCATCGGCTCTTACGCTGTTCTGGAGGGCTGCCTTGCTTGTCATTGGCCAACTTGCGCAACATCCGCTCGATGCCCTCCAGACGCTCTTCTATCTTCTTATCAGAAGTGGAAACTTGCGTAGCCAATACCGATGCTTGTTCGGTAGGCCTCCTGGCAGGGTTCTCCACGCCCTGTCCGCGCTGCGGATCTCCTTCCTTCTTCGCACGCGCCTGCCCTTCGCTGGCCATTGCAGCGGTTTGGGATTTATTACCAGCCGTTCTTTTGCTCGGATCGTAGGCGTGCTCAGGGAAGATCGTCGAGTTGGGGTCGGCGAACACACGCGGATGACGACCGAGAGATAAGGTGTTCTGTACCTCGGTCGCCCTCCTGATGAATTCGCGTATCGCCTTCATCTCGCTCCGACGCAGCTGAATTTGGATGTTAGAAACGAGGTTTGCATGGAATAGGTCTAATAACCTCTCCAAGGGCATTGATGGTTCTAGTTTATTGACAAGAGCCACCAGGTTGGACACGTAGTCTCGCACTAGTTCATCCTCACCCTGGAACTGGTCCTGGGCTTCCTGCAACAGCCTTTTTTACTGTTGCGTATTAGTGCCGAACCAATCCCGGGCGTCATCGACGAACTCTGCATAACTAAGCCACTGGTACTTGTTAGCGTACCAGGTCCTCGTGTTACCTTCGAGGATCTCTGATACGGAACAAAGCACTTCGTCATCAGTTAGCCCTGTGCCCACGCGCAGATCTTCCAACTTTGACAGAAACGTATCTATGCTCTGTGCCCTACTGCCCGCAAACCTCAATTTCCATCCGCGGACAATTTTTCCAACATCTCGGGTTGTGGAGAGCCCTGAGGATAATTGAGGACCAGTGCCATATGATCCGCTTCGACTCCTCTGTCGAACAGGTGCGGATCTCCCATACTCTTCCGGATCCTTTTCACCTCCTCTTCTTTAGAGGGCTTCCAGTGGGGTGACATCCCTTCTCCTGGGTAGTGGTCTTGGAGGAGCCGGTGTGCTTCCCGGAATCCCAGAATCGTAGTGACAGGTGAATGTGTCCTGAAAGTCCACATTACGTCCGGAGCGCGGTTGAACCGAGTCGCGCTGAGAAGAACGGCTAGCATTGGCCATCTCATGCATTGCGTCTTCCAGCTCTCGTATTCGTAAGGCACATGTCCTGTGCCTCGCACTCCGCACACACCTGTATTCCTTGCAGAGTCTGAAGGGTTTCTAGGATTCGATCTACCAGCTTGCGGTTACGGTCGACTCCCTCCTTCAGGTACTCTATTTCCCGGAAGGCTTCATTCAAAGATAATTCTTCCTGAGGTTCCTTCCGGGTGCAGAATTTCTGCGACCTGAGATCCGGATTGCTCCGTCTCTTCTCCCCCTCCTCCTGCTCCTGGGTGCGTAGGGCCTTCTGGATGAGCTCATCCTCTTCTTAGCGGCTGGCTTAACCCTCAGAGTCCTCATCCGGGTAGGCGAATGTCCTTGACATATCTGTCAAGGATATTCTCCCCCTATTGATGATCCTCAGGGGATGGTCGCTGTTCTCGTCTGCGCTGTGGGTTTCCAACTCATCACATACTGTGTCGAGCCACGCTTGTCGGGTGCGCCTCCTGCGCCCCGCCACCTCTTTACTGTACGTGGTCTCTTCGAAATCTGTGACTGTGTATTCTCCTAGCAACCATCTCCCAAGCCTAGCCGCCTGCTGGATGACACTTCCATCCTTGTTTAGCTCTAAATCCGCTAAATAGCTTTCGCGCTGTGCGGAGGTCAGCTCTAATGCCCAATTGTCGATCTGAGCTTATAACAGAGCCATCTTGCCTCCGCACGGGTGTAGGATGCGGTCGAGGTTTGAAATTATCGGCCTAATCGACCACTACCGCTTCCTATCACCCAAGGTATGAGCGGGGTATACACTATTTAGTGTAACTACCCTTAATGCCTCCTTTTTATAAGGCACAAACTCGCGAGATTATGAGCGCGCGCAGTCTCCGCAAACTATTTATAAATATTATAAAAATATCCTACCTAAGGTCGGAGCATGCTGTTTGCTTGCTCCGCCTGGCTAATATTTTCTGGACTGCACGCTTGGGTCGCGCTCTCTGCTTTTATCGTCGTTCAGGTGCTTCCAACCCCCCTTTATCTATCAAACTATGTCTAAAATGGGTTAACACCTGATTACTCCAAACGACCTGAAATTACTTCGACCCCCTTATAATTATCGCTTTCGGCCCTTTTTACAATCAACTTAACAATTTTTTAAGTAAAAAGTTCGAAGTGATTTCGTTTTTTCCCCAGCAGAGGGCGTATCGCTCACGATCTTGCGCTACCACACGCTCAAACCTTCCTAAGCGCTCGCGCAATCATCTCTCTCTCTCGTGCGTCGATTACCTTCGACGCACAATCCTATTCGCATTAAACGGGTCTTAATACCAGTTGGGCGCCATGTAACGGGGGAGGTTATCTGAAAAATGGAAAATTTATATTAGAACAAATTCGTACGATGCAGAGTAAACCGCCACTCCGTTAAACACGTATGATAGTACGTGTATTCGCCTTAACGTCAGATGATTTATCCTAGTTGTCTTCTGTTAAACGAAGTTGAACTCACCTTAAGTCACGTGTCTTGTGACACTTGTTGAGTTTTAAGTGTGAGCGACTTTACTCCTAATCTTCTTAATCCCCTAGATGTAATTGGATTAAAACCTAAGCCTTTTTCAATTACTTAAGCTACTAGGAAAATTAAATTACGAAAACGGCGAATAAATTTCACAGACTTTAATTAATAAAAATTACTACAGTCTTTGTAGGGCCGAAAGACTAACGCACGCGAATAGGATTTTACAATTAGTTATATTCGGAGAGAAAGAGAGAGATAGAAGATTCGAATTATACCGCGAACTAACGCTCGACGCGAATACCAAAAATAACGCTATCACGAATATACAAAATACCGAATGTATTTTGTATCGCTTAACCTTTTAAGGACGGGGATTTTTACGTTAAAATTTGACTTTTTTTTTGCACAATATTTGTGCATAAAATGAAAGAATATGTCACGTGGAGTGCCTGACAAAATTGGTGGTCGATATATCGACCAGTCCCGTCCTTAAAAGATTAATATGACGGAAGGTGCACCTACCATGCGGTGCAATTACGGTGATCAGCCGTAATTATTGTTGCAAAAATATCAACTGCCACTGCCCTATGATTATCAGCTACGCTGCCTTATACTGCCTCCAATAGCTACAATCTGCTGCTTCTGCACTGCTACTTGTTATCTCGAAAATACCGTTACATTCACGCACGAAATTGTCCCAGAAAACTAATTATTCGGCGAAAACAAAGTGCAACACAAATCGGCGGTAAATTCACGTTCACAGCTAAGGCGTAAATGCCTATTCAAAATATCGCGCGCCCCCTCTCTCTTAACTGTTAGAACTAACGCGCGAGAAGTAGAATCGCAAACGGTTCGATTAATTAATTCGACTACCGTTGCAATATAAGTAAGTAGTTATAAAAAAAATATTTTATTTCAGATTTAAAATATCTTCAGATAAAATTACATTAATTTGTTCCTACCCTCCACTGTGCAGAAAAAATATATGAGCCTTTGCTCTTGAAACACTCTTGTACAAAACTTAAATTATATAAGAAATCACGAGACAATTAATTTGGTATACAGAACTAACTTTATTTTTCAGTGTCCAACAATCATACTACAAGCAACTTCGTTGAAACGTATTCATCAAATCAAATACCAACAACTCCTTTTTCATGTATGGATGTTGATTCAGAAACAGATAGTAATCATGACACTGCTTTGACTCTGGCATGTGCTGGAGGACATGAAGAACTCGTAGAACTTCTATTGAGTAGAGGAGCAGATATAGGTGAGTATTTTTATATCTCCTTTTTTTTATCTTTATTATATTGCGATTTGTAATTTTCATTACGACAAATCATTTCTTTATTTTTTGAAGTATTTATTTAAAAAATTATTAACTTTATTATTATTAATTGAGATCGAGTTATTTTTCTAAGTTGAAAAATAGTACTTTGGACCTTATAATCAGCCTTTATATGTAAGTCTGAAAAACTGCATTAGCTATAAAATCAGGAACAATATCTTATAAAATGAGTTCAATGGTTTTAAATGAAATACTTTTCATCATTGCTATAAAAAATACCAAGTTAAAAACGTTACTATTTGATTAAATCTACATATTTATGATTTTTGAGTTTCTCAATCTCAAAAACGAACTGAAAGTATCTGTTGACCATGTAACGATAACTATAATGCATACACCCATAGTTTAATATCGTGGTTCTCGTACGGGTTGCACATATTAAACAAATCAGTGATCGGAGTGCACTTTTTGATTTTGCAAGTTGTCAATTTTTGATAAATTGCAAAAATCCCTCGATTCGTTTATAAAAATGTCTATGTGTACTCCTTGGTCTACGAGGGTGGTCCGATAAGTACTTAACCTCACCGCTCGATGGCGCCACTCTCGCAAAAGAAATATTCTATCACGTAGTACCACCTTCTCGACGGTTACTGTCAAGATTTCAGCCGGATCGGAGTTGTAGTTTATTTTTGAGAGCGTGTGAAAGCAAGTGTATCCGTTGATTTTTGAAAAATGGAAAAAGAGCAGTATCGATCGGTGATTCAAAAAGCGCTTGGATGCTGTGTACGGTGACTCTTCTCCTTCGATGGTGACCGTCAGAAATTGGTTTAATGAGTTTCAACGTGGTCGCACGTCGATTTTTGAAGAGCCACGTCCAGGTGCTCCGAAAACGGCTACCACGGAGGATAACGTGACAAAAATTCACGATCTCGTATTGGCAGATCGACGATTGAAGGTGTGCGAGATAGCTAAGATCGTAGGCATCTCAAAAGATCGCGTGGGTCATGTCCTGCATGAAATTTTGGGCATGAGAAAGCGTTTGCTCACTCCGGACAACAAGCGCAACCGTGAGACAACTTCAGAGCAATGTCTGACGCTGTTTAAGCGCAATCCGAAGGAGTTTCTGCGTCGTTTCGTGACAGTCGACGAAACATGGATCCACTGGTATACACCAGAGACAAAGGAACAGTCGAAACAGTGGACTTTACCCGGCGAAAGTGCTCCGAAGAAGGCGAAGACTGCCCCATCGGCCGGAAAGGTGATGGCCACCGTTTCCTGCGATTCACAAGGTGTGATCTACATCGACTACCTGGAGAGGGGCAAAACGGTCACAGGGCTGTACTATGCCGAATTATTGGGCCGATTCGACGTCGTATTGCAGAAAAAACGGCCCCATTTGGCGAAGAAAAAAGTGCTCTTCCACCATGACAACGCACCGGCTCACACCTCCGCCGTCACCATGGCCAAATTAATCGTATTAGGCTACGAACTGCTGCCCCATCCACCGTATTCTCCAGATTTAGCCCCGTACGATTTCTTTTTGTTTCCAAACTTGAAAAAGTCACTCGCCGGGCAGAAATTTGAGTCGAATGAGGAGGTAATCGCTGCCACGGAAGCCTACTTTTCAGACCTCGAGGAAACGTATTTTTCAGACGGGTTAAAGAAGTTGGAGCATCGCTGGGCCAAGTGTATCGAGCTAAAAGGAGACTATGTTGAAAAATAAAACGCCACTTTTCCAAGCTAAATTTCCTGCTTGATAGTATCATTATCCGGCTGTCGAGTCGCCATCCACCATCGGCATTTGAATACAAGGCTCCTCGAACTGAGGCCTGGAACCATTCATTTGTTATCCTTGCACAGAGGATACTCATTTCATTGAGCGTGACCCTGATCTCCACTGATTGGATCTCTGACTTCAAGGGTTGGACACGTGACCTATTTTAAATTACGAGGCTAGAGCATGGATTGAGCGGGCGACTCGCGAAAACCTAATGCCAGTGCCGACACTGTCCGATTACACTCGCATACCAAACAAGGTTAATCCAGTCGCGTTCTCCCAAAATTATCCAACCTCCCACAAATACCCAACTATCGACCTTTGGTTTATTAAATAGCTAATTATACTTAGCTGTTCTTTAGCCAAATGCACGTCGCTCCCCTTATACAATTTTCTCCTTTCAGTCCGTTTTGTAAAATAGGTGCCATCACGTTTTAATTATTTTTCATTGTTTTTATTATTTTTATTATTTTTACCGTCTTTATTATTTTTATTACTTTTATTATTTTTATCGTTTTTATTATTTTTATTATTTTTCATCTTTTATTATTGTTATTTTTGTTGATTTATCTGTTATTTTAATTATATTTTTTCATATATTTTTATTTTATTATATTTTACATATTTTATTTTATTTTCATATATACGTAATCTGAGTCATTTTACTATTATTGCCATTGTAAACTCGGAGTTCACCGTACATACAATCCACGCATTTATCTAAATTTATCTTCTTTAAATAATTAAAAGCGTTAATATTTATTCTTGCATCTCTTCTTTTGTCATTTTATAAATTTTATTATGTTCGATTTATACATTTGCTAAGCTGCCAGACAGGGTATCCACCTCATCGGCGCAATAAACGAACTAATCTCTCTCTCTCTCTCCCCCTCTTTATTTACCAAGTGACTTCAATAAATGAAAATTATTTATTCTATATAATAAAAAAGTAACTCTTGATTTGCAAGTCAAACAAATATATTTCAGAAACATTTTGAAACACATTAATATTTCAATATTGGTTTTGAATTACCTCGCGTGGATGTTTGTTCAACATGTTTGTCATTGAAAAACCACATTAAAAAGATGTAATTACTTTTAGTTATGACTAAAAAAAATTTACTTCTGATAAAGATATCAAATCAAATAACATATTACAAACGACAATTATACTTTGGAACGGGGTTGGGTTGCTACCGTTTAATTATTTTTATTCGGACGATCGCGTAGATAGATGCGCGTAATAACCTATATCAAATAAGAAAGTCGGAGAGCAAGAGGGAACGGGTGTCAGTCAATCAACAAATCTACAGGAGTGGAATCAATACGGAATAAGCACGTCGAAAGTACTGGTTAATATCACGAACGAAAACTCTTTATTATCCTCTTTGAATGCTACACTAGAATTGGCCCGCGTGTTTATGTTTACATTAGCGCTCGCACGACGACAACATACAGCGTCGGATCGCTTGCCGCTCTTTGTTAGCAGAGCTATTACATGCACGCCTCGCTTCGAGTATGGAAAATAGATCATCTGGCATGCAATCGTGGTCGCGAGATTAAGCTGGCCAGCTTACCTTTATTTTGCAGAGGTACGAAGACGAATGGAACAATTCGCACTCTTACGGGAAAGTCTGTCTGTTTTATGCCGCGGATCGCGAGTTCGCGTGCGCACGGTTTCGCCCTCGATGGCGAAACCTCACACACACAGACTCTGGATTCCGCAGGTAACGATCCTGCTTTTTCTGGCTCAGGTCTGCGCTCCGTGTAGCTCTGTAACAACATCCTCTCGATCTCTCTCGTGCGCACAGGTAATTAGCTCGTCGGTCTCGATCTCCGTGACCTCCGTATCGGTAGCTGATTCTTCACTGGTTCGTTTTCAATCGCACGCGTTCCGTCTGCTCGCGTGCCGAATTCCGTCGTTAAATTTTTCGTCTCCCGGTAAGTGCTGCCCCCGCAGGCAGCCACTAGGTTAGGCAATTAGCGCTACTTTGACGTTTACCCTCACAACTTATATAATTTTGCAGTGGTGAAAGAATCTTCTAATGCAAAACAAAAAGATAACGTGCATTGTTACGTATAGTTGGAGAATGAGTACAGCAAAGGCTCTGATGAAATAGCATCGCCGCTGTATCATACATTAAAGAGCAAAGTTTGATCAAATACTGAAATAAGTATAGTGTGATTGGTATCTGATCGATGTGCTGGTCAAAATAAAAATATCTTAGTTTTATATGTAATTCATTGATATAAAATGAATTTTCATTTCACTGATATCAAATAAATTGTTTTAGAAAGTTTTACGAAGTTTTTAGCTAGTTCTCTAGTTAATTGACTGTTTGTAATATGACAAATTAAAACCTTCCAAGTCAATTATATTGAAATATAATTTCAATAAAAACTTCCCAAGTTCCGTAATTTAAAACAAAACGTGCTAAATGCATTTCTTATTGATACAAATTTTTTAATCTACTGTAGAATAATTTGCACAATCTATTTAATAAGTCTTGTACTGCTTAGTATTTTTGATCTATGGAATTAAAATTTGTTAATCTGGCGAGTTATATTCAGAATCAGTTTTCACCCGAGCTAAGTTGTAGCACTACTGTTTTTGTCATGGACAAGCTTTTGGATTCTGACTATTACCCGATATCTGTTGAAATAAACACTAAAAAATTTGAATACCAAAAAAAGACTTTTAATTTAAAAGGCGTAAGTACAAACTGGGCCAAGTATCACGAATTTCTAGTAAATAACTACGACTCTTTACTGTCAAGTGAATTTGCGAACAAATCTGCCAGTGTAAAATATAATTGTTTTATAAAACTAATAACAGAAGCCATAGAATAATGTACACCTCGAAAAAAAAATTTTCAGAAGAAACACAACTCGAAAAATCTCGTCCATGGTGAAACAGCGAATGGGCTTTACTAAAAAGACTAAGATGTGCCACTTACAAGAAATGGGTATTTTCGAAAAAATTCTCTGATCTCATAAACTACAAAGGACACTGCGCTCTATTTCGTAGGGCTATTAACCCATTAACGTCCAAAATGTCAAAATTTCTTGCACGTTTTCAAAGTGATTTTTTCCTATGTAATTGGCGTTGAAAAAATTCTTGAACCACATATTCTGATGTAAGATTGCATGCTCTTTCAGAATCCGTTGCCAGAATCATGATAAAACTCACAGGAAAAGAGATATG